TATATATACATAGATAGATAGATAGATAGATAGATAGATAGATAGATATAGATATAGATATTTGGACCACATGGCTCTCTCTCTGGACTGCAGGGCTTTCTCTGGACCATGTGGCATCTCTGGACTGATGACTGAGTGGCTGGTGCCTGGTCATTTGGCTCTTCATGAGCTATCAGTGTTATTGAAGTTCCAAGTCAGCAGAGCTGGTAGGATGTTCTAGTTAACTTATCTCTCTCTCTCTCTTTCTCTCTTTCCCTGGGTTGCACCTTTTTCTTTCCCTTTTGTAAATAAACCCATTGTTGACCCTTTTTGTGTGTGCCTACAGTAAAATTGAATTTTAAGTGGGCAGGTAAGGATCCACAGACAGGCAACCCAGTTCACAGTGGGTTGCCCTGTAACAGTAGTAGTATTCTCTTGATGGAATATGGCAGAAGAAGTCAGGACATAGTAGAGTAACTGAAAAGGTGGACTGTGGCAGATCATAAGCCATCTTTTCTTGCATGATATCATATGTCACTTGAAGAATTTCCTTGTTATTCTGCAATGTAATATGGGCAATTTGGTTTTGTGACCTAGAGCTGGATCTTATCAGTGTCTTGTGAGGGAAGACAGCTTTAATGGCATGTTGAAAACATATAAGTGATGAGGGTGGAGGGTAAGGGGTAGGTAATTAGAAAAGATGTAGTACAGTAGCTCAATAGAGGAAAAATGAAAAACAAAAGATCTGAAAGAGGACAATGCAATGGAAATAAAAGCACCAGAAGTTCTTGTCCAACTAGAATCAATATTGCCTCACCTTCATGAATTATGTGAGAGACTATTGACCCATTCTAACCTGAAGGTTCTATGAGCTAAGATTCTATGACCATTCAGGAACTCTACATTCCAGGAGAAACCCCCCCACAAGCTGTAAGTACATATAACACATATCTATAAATATTTAAAAAGCAAAATAATCTCTTTCACCTTAATTTAATATATCAGTCAAAAGGGAGATAGTTAGATCTATTTCTTGAATAGTTGACCTGAGGGTTTTGTTTCTGTTCACTGAACTCAGAATTTAATAGAAATTTGAAAAGTGAAACTTTGAGAAAATAAGAGACAGAATGGACACAAGATAATCTGACATGGTCTGGAAGATACTGAATTGACTTTTAAAATAGAATATAAACAAATCTAAAATAGAAGTAACTGAATTACTGAATAAATTCTCATTGTTTCCCATGTTCTAAGGATTTTGTATAATGGACACAAGATAATCTGACATGGTCTGGAAGATACTGAATTGATTTTTAAAATAATATATAAACAAATCTAAAATAGAAGTAACTGAATTACTGAATAAATTTTCATTGTTTCCCATGTTCTAAGGATTTCGTATAATGGACACAAGATAATCTGACATGGTCTGGAAGATACTGAATTGATTTTTAAAATAGAATATAAACAAATCTAAAATAGTAGTAACTGAATTACTGAATAAATTCTCATTGTTTCCCATGTTCTAAGGATTTTGTATAGGGATAATTGAAGAATATATTGTGAGAAAAGCAACTAGGCAATAAGAAATTTAGAGACTTTGGTGATTTGCGGGGTGGCAGGTTTAGCAGACAAAAATAAAATGACATGCAGAGAGAAAACATGAAATTTGCATTATTTAGAGTTCACCCCCAAGTTGTAAGTAAATAATTGCATAATTTAACTTATTGTATTTACCAAACACTTAATATATCACTTATATTCACTCTATTAAGCCTTGTAACAAATCTGTGGATTGCTTTTATTATTCCCATTTTACAGATGAGGCAATTTTTTTTTTTACTGTTTTTTACATAGTCATATGTCTACCTGGTGGATGTGGATATCTAATATATGAGCACTTAGTTGGTGGTCAGTGAATGTTAATTTTCTTTTGGTCACCCACATCCCTGTTTGTTTTATATCTTAGTGTAAGACTTGTGGTGTGTGTGTGTGTGTGTGTGTGTGTGTGTGTATGCATTTAATAGTATTGTTCTAATTTTTTTTTTCCTACACCACTATCTCTTATATCCCCTTCATTCTTTCTTCCCCCATTTCCTCATGACTCAGAAACCGAAAATAGACAGATTTTGGGTTAATATTCTGTACCTCTACTCCATCCCTAGCTCTTTGTATTGCATTAAAAAGGATATTTGAGGCTTTCAACTTTTTCATCTGAAAATGGAAATAAGTTAGACCATGTCTGACCCCAGATAAATATGAAATATGGTGTTAGGAATGTAGCCAGCTTGACTGTCTTCTGTGTGACTGATTGCCTTCTGGGTGCTATATTAATGGTCTTGGATCATTGACCAATTATCCTATGAATGTGATTACTTGTGTAAATTGGATTTCTTTTACTTTCATTAAAATTTTATTATGACAAAAAAGAGATATAAATCAAGCCATATGCCCTTGCTTCTGTTAGAGCCATATTTAGTTCTTAATGGGCTAATCTTGAACTTTCCAAATTACCTTTATTTCGGAAAATTCCATTAGAGCATAGTAGAGGATTTTGGGGCACCATTGGTGGACATGATATGAAAATACACATTTGTGGAGGTTTGAACTTATGCCCCCACAATGATGCAATGTTAACCACCTCTTCCTCAACAAACATAATTAAAAAAAAAATTTCTGGGGCTCATCTACCTCTGCAAGTTCTGATCATGTAACTTCTATCTAAAAATCTTGGTCCTCTATAATTCTATAATTTAGTTTTTGACCAAACTCTATATTTTTTAATTCAAAAAAGATTTTTATTATACCATCCTTCACTTTTGTACAATGTATGATTTTCCTGTGAAATTCCCACTACCAATCTTTTACCTAATACAGTAATGTAAAGATGATTTATTAATTTGTGTCTAAATAATCATATAGTTAAATTTTAATTTTAGTTAAAATTTAACTTATATTTTCTCCTTTTCAACAGTAATTTACTCAATGAAAATGGCAGAACAAATCTTAGCAAAATTAGATGTTCTAGATAAGCAAGCAATGTTGATCTCAACCAGAAGAATAAAGGTTTGCAAAATATAAGTTAACATTCAATTTAATCAGTAAAAATAAAAATTTTATCATTTTAGTGTGAATGAAATAGTTTATCTTTAATGATGCATTAATATAAAGACAGAACTAATTTGTAAAAAGCAAGTACCTATGTTAGTTGAAACAACTATGTAAATGGATACTATAAAGATACTATAAATAGACAAGCTGATTTCTAATAGCTGTCTTTTTAGGTTATGATGTATCTAACCTGCTTAAAATTTTAAATAATCTTAACAGTCAAATAGTAAATGTGACTACTACTACAGCTTTTATCAGCACATTACTTTAATATATTTAAATGATTTACATTGTTACATTTAATGTATCTAAATTTATTTAAATGTATTAGATGATTTTAAAATAATTTAAAATTAATATATTCATTAACAAACATGTAAAATTATTTAGTTTGTTAAAATTATTTTCATAATTTAACTATCACCTTTGTTTTTTTATGACATTTTTATAACTTTACTTTGAAATTATTTATATAATTATATTAAACTGAATGTTTTAATAATACACAGAAACACATTTGGTATGTTTACCAATTTAGAAATGGTAAGCTCATAGAAATTAAACTAAAATAGGTAAAACTCGTTATTTTTCGCACTTTGACTTTTTACAGGAGAACAGACTTCAGAGTCAAATAAAGAAAAAGACTTCAGTTATACCCCTGACATTTGATTTTCATTTGAATTTTGAAGAAACTATCGATATGTCCACATCTACACCATTACCAAAGATCACAAAAGACAAGATATGTGACAATGATACAACAAAAAGGTAACCCTCATAATTACCTCAAGCCTTCAGTTTGGATTTTAAAGCATGACTTTAGATTTATCTTAAATTATGCAATCCATATCAAATGTAAACTTCCAAACATAGATATATTTCATAATTGTGAATTATAATATGCTAGGTTAGTATTCCTACTTTATAGAATATTTATTCTAATATTTCACTGGTAATTGCAAATAGTAATTATAAGTCTGGATACTTTAAAGAAAGATTTCTCTTGAGCTCTACTGCATTGTCCCATGTCAGTTGTTAGGATTTGTTTCTAACTTTAATCAATATATCCCAAAAAACAAATTTGTCTAGAAAACTGAATAGTTTCTCTGTGCACTTACAAGGAGTATTATAAATATGTTATCTGTGGTCTTACATTTCCACTGCAGAGCTGTAAATAAAGAAAAAAGAGTCATGTAAATTTATTAATACAAATAAATATAATAATTTACATAATTTAATTATCACAATCATCTTTGTTTTTATAATTTTAGTTCAAAATTATTTATAGAAGTATATTCAAATATAAATATTTTAATAATATACAGAAAAATTGCAGAAAATAAAATCTGGGAATATGGGTCAGGAAAGCATAATATATATTTTTATATGTTCATATATTTAGTTATAAATATATGCCATTATTTGACTGCATAGTATGTGACTGATGACCCATTAGACACATACAAAGGTACCTTGTGATATGTGCTATGGTAATTTTTTCCAGGGTGATACTATTGCTGCCCCTTCCCTATCTGATAAGACTAGTTTCCAAATAAGTTATAAAAGTATCATTGACCTTGTGTTAGTGGTAGTATAACCTTCTAATGGCTGAGTAATATCACCTTTGAGTCAAGTATAAATCAGTCAAAATTGTAGACAAAAAAAAAAAAAAAAGCATATTCTTAAGGCCGAGGAATTTTAGTTTGATACGTGTCCAAAACAAAACCAGCAGCAGCAACAACAACAAAAGTACAGGAAAAGTTCAAGAATTTACACAAGAATCAGGGTGTATCTCAGGCCAAGGGAAGTAAAATTTGGTTGAAGAGATTAAGAAATTTTGTACATGTTAAAAAAATCCAGCCAGCACCATATTTAGATTATGAGTTTTGCTTCTGACATCACTTCTGTCTACCATCTGCTGTCTTCAAATAGGTTTCCTTGTGTAAAAGTCTAGTACTGTTTTTCAGAGTGAAACAAATTCTTTAGATGCTGTTACTTAAGCCAAAAGGTAGATAGTCCTTGACTAAGATCTAAGAAGAATTTACAGCCCTATGTTTAGCAGAAGCAAAAGCAAAATTTAGAGAATGAAGTTACACCCAAAAAGAGGTGTGGGCAGAAAGAATCCTGGCTAAAAACAACAGCGAAGGAAGATGGGGCTCTAATCTTAAATGGGGTTCAGAAACTTCACTTCATCCCTTCCCGGAGTATACTGTTCAGGTGTTCCTGGGGTATAGTTTATGGGTCAATGCAGCAGTTTCTCAGTAACTGTCCCTTCTACTGTGCCCCTGCAGCAAGTTGGGGGCAGAGGAGAGCATTCAACTTGAATTGCTGTGGTACCAATCAGCTCTGCCTTTCCCTGGGGAGTGGGAGAACATTTGGGAGTTTTCAGGGCATTTCTTGTTCGGGTAGGGGAATTTTCTTATCATCCAGACACCTGCCAATTTCTAAAATGCTCACCCTCTGGGTGCTTCTTGCCTTCTTTAGGCTTTTTTTGACTTGCCTATTCATCTGGGTAGAAGCTGCCTTATTCCTTCCCCTTGGGCTTTTTTTGGTGGTAGTGATTAGGGGGCTCTTCCTGGGCCTTATTAGCTCTGGCCATTATTTCCTTAGTTTTAGATGACTGCTTCATATGTGAAATATCTTTTTTTATAGATGGTTGTTGAATTTTCTTTAGACTTTGCTCTCCTTGTGTTAAATGTCTAAGGGGCTGGTTGAAACACAGATTGCTAGGTCCTACATGAAGAATTTCTGATTCAGGCATAGACCTGAAAATTTGTGAATCATTTTTCTGGTGATGCTGACACTGCTTGTCTAGAGCCCACCCTTTGAATCACTACTCTAGCTTATGTCCTATTCCAATCATGCTGCCCTACACCAACACCTGTCCCGATTTTTTCCTTGTCTTGTAAAGTTTCATAGCAACTCTCAACTTGGTACTGTAATAACATAATTGGTGATACCTGCCCAGGATTATTTGTAGCTGAACTTTACTTTCAGAGTAGTATTTTCAACCCACTTGTATTTGCATTACCTGGGAACCTTTAAAATAATTGCATTCTATTTTAATTAGCCTGGAGTGAGGCCCAGGCATTACTATTTTTAAGATTCCCCAGATGGTTCTTATATAAAGCTAGAACTGAAAACTACTAAACTCTTAGGATTTCTTTCTTAATTATCCCTACAGACATCTTTTCTATATCACTATTAACTCAGAATTAACTAAACTTACTGTAGTAATCATTTCACAATATATGCATGTATCAAACCATTGTGTTGTATACCTAAAACTAATATAATGTTAAATCTCAATTTTATATAGCTTTTTTTATATGCTCACTTTGTAGTAATTACTGCTAAGCATTTGGACCTGGGGTAGGATGGGGTTTGAGATGATATTTACCTCTGAGAAGGAACTGTAGCTTTTATAAGACATTAATAAATATTGTGTGTAGTTCTGTTGTTCCATGGACAGGCCATCCCCTGTGCCTCCCACTCCTTGGCCTTCTGTCTACCCTGAGACATAAAATATTGAAATTAGGCCAGTTAATAACAGTACAATCACTTCTAAGCATACAAGTAAGTAAAAGAGTTGTGTATTCATCAATTTAATGTTAGAAAAGACTAAGCTTAGTGAGAACTGAAAGCTAGGCCTCTTGCACTAGGTAGTTGGCCAATATGTAAATGCAGAATAAAGGTTTTTGAAGGAAATGAAAAGTGCTAGCTACTCTAGTGAACAGAAGAATGATAACACAGCCAAATAGCCTTGTTGGGGGCATCCCTTGTGACCTAGGGGTTAAGTCTCAGCACTATTACCATTATGGCCTGAGTTTTATCCTAGGCCAGGGAGTTAACCCACGTATGGCATAGCAGACCTCTGCTGTCTCACTTGCTGTTCCCCTTGGCAGTGTATTGTAATAGATCCTCCTGTTTTGCTTCTCATTCTGTCTCTTGTGAATCATCTTGCCATCTCCCCATGCTTGAATCTCTGGCCTTTATCCCAGTTCATCTATGCAAGAATGAATTTAAAAAAATAGCCTTGTTGCTGATATGGAGAACATTTTAATGCTCTGGGCAAAAAATGAAACCTTCCACAGAATTCCCTTCAGCCTAACCCTAATTCAGAGCAAGACCCCACCTTTCTTCAATTTTGTGAAGGCTGCGAGAAGTGAGACTACAGCAGAAAATACAAATTTAGGAAAGGTTGATTTATGAGATTTAAGGAAAGAAGCTACCTCTAGAACAAAAAAGTGTAAGGTGAAGCAGCAAGTGCTGATAAAGAAGCTTTAACACGTTATCCAAAAGATCTTGTTATTATAATCGAAGATAGCCATAATTTCAATTCTAGGATTTTCATAGCTAGAAGGAAGAAATCAATGTCTCCTCAGAGCTACAAAGGATGGACTGACTCTCATTAGTGGGCAATGCAGCAGGCAATTATAAGATGAGGCCAATGCTCTTTTACTATCTTAATGGTTTCCAAAAATGGTAGGGCTTTTAAGAATTATGCTAACCCTACTCTTCTGTGATTTACATGTGAAACAATAGGGCCTAGATGACATCACATCTGTTTATAATATGGTTTACTGAATACTTAAACCCGCCACTGAGATTTACTCTGCTAAAAAAAATTCTTTTTTCAAAAATTTCTTTCAAAGATAATAATCCATTGACAATGCACCTCATTATGCAAGAGATATGATAGAAATGTACAAGGGGATTAATATTGTTTTTATGTCTGCTAATATAGCATCCATTCTGTGGCTCATGGATTAAAGAGTAATTTTGATTTTCAAGTCTTACAATTTATGGATTAAAGAATAATTGTGGTTTTCAAGTCTTATAATTTAAGAAATATACTTTATGAGGTTATAGTTGTCACAGATAGAGATTCCTCTGATAGATCTGCATAAAGTAAAATGAAAATCACTAGAGAAGTTTCTACTGTTCTAGATGTCATTATGAGCATTTATGATTTATGGAATGAGGTAGAAATAACAAAATCAACAGGAATTTGGAAGAAACTGATTCCAATTTTCATGGATAATTTTGAGAGTTCAAGACTGTTGGACATTGTTGGAATGACAAAAAATGATTTAGAATACATAATTCTAAATTTAAAATAACAAAATTAGTTGTTAAAACATTGGGTTTTGGAGAATTAACTCATTTGAAAGACATTCTACTGTGGGTAAAATGCTGTCAAACAATATTGTATATTATAGGGGAATATTTCTGAGTCAATGATGAGACAAACGATGTGTTATTTAATAAAGTGCTACAATCACCCCCTGCCCCTTCCATAGCCACCACCCTGATCAGTCAAGAGCTATCAACACCAAGACAAAACCGTTTATCATCAAAAAGATCACTATTCACTGAAGGCTCGGTCAATGGTAAAATTTCTTAGTAGTAGTCTTTTTCATTTTTTAAAGATTTTATTTATTTATGCATACAAGAACTGGAGTACAGACCAGAGGCGTTGAGGGTAAGAGAATTCACCAGACAGAGTAGGGAGCAGAACAGGCAGATGTACTGATCTACACTGCTGAGGGGAGCAGCCAGCAGATAAGGAAAGGTCTGTTGCACCATGTGGGTCAGCTCCCTAGCTGGGAATCAACTCATGCTGCAGTGGCTGTGGCTAGATTCACAGTGCTCTGCTTTAACCCACTGCAGCACCAGAGAGGGCCCAGCAGTAGCCTTTCAATAGTCATTTTTTTTTTATAGCTGAGTAGTAGTAGACATAATACTAGTGTAATCATAATACTATTGCATACTTAATTAACTATGCTACAGCATAAATATAACTTTTATGTTGACTGGGAAACCAAAATATTATTATGACTGACTTTATTGCAGTATCTGCTTTATTGTGTCTGGACCCTATCTCCTAGTATTCTGAGATGTGCCTATAATACAATTAACTGTTTTAAATACTATCAATAGTTAAAGATTTTGGTGGAGGGAAATTCCCTTTTATAATTAAAAAAAAAAAAGTCTGTGATACTATCTCGTAGACTTTTCTGGTATCTTATATGATCCTAACTGTATATCCTACCACTTCCGCTCAACTCTGGCAATGTCCCCAATATCTCAGTGAATTTCTAAGATATTTTCTAAAAATGCTAATCAGCTTGTGAACCATAGTTCCCTGGAGTTCCTCAGTCATGTCTTGTCTGTCTCTACTTCAAATGATTATCACAACTATTTTAACTCCTGCTTAATTAGCCCTAAACTTTTACAATTTGTGCTTATAGTAAAATTAACACAACTTCCAAATCTGTATAACTAGAATATCACCTTTCCAAAATTTTTTTTGATTAATTTTATAAATTTTGTAATTAGTATAGATTTGTTTAATTTCCTCCAGGCACATCTCCTTCAAAACTAAGTCTGAACCTAGAAAAAGCAATTTGGAAAAGTTACATTTAAGGCCACATGTTGTACCAGCAAATGTAAAAAGTCAAGAAGCCAAATCAAAAGGTAAAGTTGAGTACAACATATTTACTTCAGTTTTTGATGAATGCTTTTATTACATACTTTATTATTTAAATACCTTTAAAGTTCTTGATAATTTGGTGTTATCTTTTGAAAGCATTTGTGTGAAAGTATATGGATTATGACTTCAGTATGAATGATTTCAGTGGGCTGTAAAGAATTTTCTAAGAAAAAAATGTTACAGATATTTAACAGGCATATGAAAAAATGCTCATCCATATATTTCTCTTTTCAAGGGAACTAATGAAGAGATTTGTTTGGCTTTCAAGTATGATTTTATTTTATTTAGAAATCCATTTTTTTTTTCAAATAAGATACAACTTAACTGTATAATAGCAAAAACCAAAGTTATATTTTGTTTATGGAAATTCACTTTTAAAGCAAAGTGCCTCAAGAAAATATAAAGATAACATGTATATAAGCAAATGAGATTATTAAACTACATTTGTAAGACATTTACTATGAACAGACAATGGTAAATTAAAAGTATAGAAATATTATTTGTTCTTATTTGTTACTTTAGAACCAGAGAAAGAAAATTTGAAACCAAGATCTACTAGATCACTTTATTTTCTTAAGGATATAGCTGAGGTAGGTTTAATTTTGTAGAAACTTAGATTAACTCAAATATTTTATATATGCTTCTACAGATTCCAAATTCAAAGCAGTATTTCAAAGTGTTTTCATCTGATAATGTACAAAATTTCATATGTGGGGATAACAGAGAAAATAATATATTTTTTGTTGGAGAAATAATTTGTTGGAGTTTCTGGCATGCTTTTTCTTATCAACTTTAAATATTACCTACTGAATAAACAATGGAAAAGATTTGAATTAGCTCACTTACGATGTTTAAATTTTGCCCCTCTCTTTTTCCCCTCTTCTGGATCTTTGATACTTAATTCTTTGCTTCTTCTATTGCTAACTTTTGTATGTTGAAATAATAAACCAAAATATTTTTTCTTTACTATCTATCAACTTTAATCCCTATTTCTTGATTCCTCTGTACTTAAGATGAAGTTTTTAACAGTCTTATCTTCCACACCTTCTTCCTTAAGTCAAACATATCCTTACTTTTATATGCTGAGGTCAATGACTACTTTTTGCAAGTCTCATTATTTTTGTCTCTAGGTTAATTCTAAAACTCAAAACATTATAAACAGCATTTAAGTTGTTATGATTACATCATACTAATATACAATTATATCATGGTAACACAATTCTGATTACACAAATAAAATATTGTAAATCATTCTGTGTAGAACAAAGTAATACACTGGGATTATGTTTCTTCGCAATGGGTATAATGTTAAAATGACAGATTTTCTTTTTGCATTCTTCAGTTACTCAGAAAATAATGCCATATTTCAGTTTCCCTCATACATACATCTTGACTGTCTTGCATGCTTTCCTGTTTTTTTCCTCTGGAGTTGCTTTTTCTTATGTTGTGGGTGAAGAATTGTAAGAGTACCAGGTACATACATAGTATTTCTTTCTGCCACACACACTGTGTGTGTGTGCTTATTCCCTCAAAAGCCTGAAGAATTCCTATCAGTATTCCTATTTTATTCCTATTTTGTAGATGGGGCGGAGGGGACACAAAAAAAATATAAGCAACTTAACCAGGAAGATCCCAACAGTTTGATACATACTGTTTACGTCTAAGATATGGAGCCTTCAATAAAGAAACATATAACTTTCTCATTATAAGTCTAGTGTCCCATGTCTTATTCTTTTTAAAGAAGACTCTAGTGTCCCATGTCTTATTCTTCTTAACTTTCATCTTTATTTTCTAGTGTCCCATGTCTAGTGTCCCATGTGTTATTCTTCTTAAATTTCATCTTTATTTTCTAGAATGAATCTTTATGAAGCTTTTCTAGAAATGGTACATGGCTGTCTGGGAATATAGTTCCTTTTCCATGTACAGGATTAATAGTTCAGTTGCATAGGTGCAAAATTTACCTTTCTCTAAATTTTGAAGACATTACTCCACTGTTTTATACCATTATTCTTAAGGAAAAGTTCTTTTGTAAGTGACTTCTTTTTCCCTCTGGAAATTTTAAGATCTTCTCTTTATCAGTATTATTTATCAGAAATGTCTTGAGGGTATAGCTACTTCAATTTATTCTGTGCAGTGCTCAGTAGGCCCCATCTGCAAATCAAATACCTTTATTTAGGTCTTAAAGATGTATTTTTAGAGGGCCCTCTCTTGTGGCACAGTGGGTTAAAGCACAGCACTCTGAAGCTATCGCAGCCACTGTGACATGACTTCAACCCTCAGCCAGGGAGCTGACCCACATGGTGCAGCAGACCTCTTTTGACCTACCTGCTGCTCCTCTCAGCAGTGTATTTCAATACACCTACCTGTTTTGCTTCTCAATCTGTCACTGGTGAATATTTTCACACCCACCCCACATGCCTAGCCTGTATCCCAGTTTCTTGTATGCATATGGAAAATAAATATTTTTTTTGCAAAGATGTATTTCTGTTATATATTTCCAAATGTGAATTATCAGGTATAGGTTATTTCATCAATATACATGGAAAGAAATAATTTCTAAGACAGTTTCCCATTTTTCTTTATGTTTAGATGGAGTATGCTAAACCCTTGAATGATCTATATTCACAGCATAGTCAAGCATACAGAAGAAGGTTGGGTTCTACAGTCTTTTCTCCTATACCAGGTATTGAATCTAATGCTTATAAAAAGGAAAAAGACTCTATTTTCTTTGCAGGTATTCCTATTTTGTGTTTATTTTGAAATAGCTATACTATACTAACTTTAAAATATAAACATCAAGAAAACCCTTAACCCAAGAATATCAATATTTAATCATATTGCTATATTATTTCACTAATAACATATTAAAACTCTATTAGAAGAATTGTAAAGTCCAGGTTCCTTCGCATGGTTTATAAAACCTTTCCAGCTATCTATTCGGTCTCTTTATCCATACTGATTCTCAGTCTGTTCCAGTGACTGTCTGATTTGATTCTTTCTGTTCACAATGACCAAAATATACTTCTCTACCTAATAGTGTCCTATTCATCTTTAATAGTTGAGACACTATTAGCTGCAATTAAGTGAAAATCTGACTACATGTGACTCAAACAATAAAGATATTTATAACTTAAATAACAAGAAATTCATCAGTAAAGCAATTTCAGGAATGATTGATTTAGGGGCTTTACTGATGCCATGAAATATCTTCTATCTTTCCTTAACTGTCTTAGCAAGTAACTTGCCCTCCTAGCCATGCTGTATGTATGGTGACTACTATTCAAAGTGACTTGTGTGGTTATTCACATTCACTGAAAAGCGAAAAGTTCTTTGATTCCTTTTTTAGAAAGAGAAAAATATTACCCAAAGTCATCTAGCAGATTGCTACGTCTTCCTGGCTAAAATAGCTTCATGTACCCATATCTGAACAAATGATTCAGAACTGTTTAGAACTGTTTTTCCAATTTTTAACATGACCCACAGAGAGAAATACTTTTTTATGTCTTAATCATATATGAAAATGGAGCGGAAGATTCAGTTTCATGAAACTCTGATTAGTTGTCTTTTTCTCTTAATTGAAATTGATTGCAGTAGTTTAGTATTTTTTATAGTAATTACTAAAGGATCCATGTGATACATTCTATTCAATTCTATTTCATTTTTTAAAATGCTGTTCAGGAGATATGCTAAATTGATTTCATTTCTAAACTGATAAGTTATGGCTTATATTGTGAAAAGTACAAGCTTAGAATATTCAAGAGTCACTCCTTTGAGTTAGGAAGAAGGCGAGCCTTCCAAGAAGAAGACATGATTGCTTGGAGGTAGATGACTAAGATCTGAGTTCTGGTAACACCAAGAAAGGACTATTAATTAGGCAATCCTCTGTTTATTGCATTATTCTTCATTATTCCACTCAGATTCTACTCTACATCTTCTCTGAAGTATTTCCTTATAATAGTGTCAGGCTGTTTAGTCTCAGCAGAGCAGAAGAGGCATTATAATTCTTTTATCAAAGTCTCAAATTAAGTCTTCTGGGAAAGTTGAAAATTATAAATATCAGATTATTCTGGTGAAAATGAATAAATAACAAAATGAAAAAATCATTCTTGAAATTAAGGTATTTTATACCAAACTCACAGAAAATTTCTACATAGTACAAAATGAAAGGAGATTCCAGAAGCCGAGGTAACATTCTTTTTATTATTTCAGTTTGTCTTTGTCTCACAATGTCCTGTTCTTTGGTATGAATATTTTTTTCATTTTTCTCTTGGAAGTTCTAAGAATTTTGAAGTTGTTTTAGATATTTCTACTTAATTTTATTGCCAGATTTATCTTCTACTTGTTGTTTCATTGGCTTTCTTGGCTTTTAGTTTTCTTTGTTTTAGAATTTTTGAAGGTTCTCTATTCACTGCCCCCTACTCACTTCATCTTACTCTTTCCAGAAGTTTTGAGTTACTACAAACCAGACTTTAATTTAGAGTTGCACATGGGGCTCCGATACCACATTGATACTAGGAATATGGAAGATCCATTCTTCCAGCCCTGGTGTGGTTTAACTTAGTTCCTGGTTATCAATTTGGAACAGAAAAGTGATTTTTAGACTCTTTTCACAAGCCACGAAATCTCAGCCTCTTGTTTCAAACAGTAGATATTTCTCTCATTTACCATTCCCATTTATGCAAATAGCATGTAACAAATTTCTAAGCCCAATATGTAGAAACCATCCTTGATTTTTATTTTTCCCTTATGCATCATATTTAATCCATCTATCAGTCTATCTGGATATACCTCCAAAATATATCCTGATATCAGCCAATTCCCATCACTTCTGTCACATCCTTTAAGCCACCAACATGTACTAGCAATAGCGTCAGAATTGTTCACTCTGTTATTATTTGCCTCCTAAGACTACCCATCTCGAAACAGGCAGAGTGATCTTCCTAAAGCATAAATAGAACTACTTTTTATTCTGTTCAAAAGCCTACAACTGATCTCTATGATAGCCAGAATTATATGTCAGCTCTTTACTACAGTTTATGTGGCCCTGTACGATTTGGCTCCTGCTACTTGCCTTAGCTCACCATATTCTACTTTTAACCTCACCCTTTTACTCCAGCAACACCTTTCAGTTCCTCATCATTCCAACATAGTTTAACACTGACAACTTTACATTTGCTATTTCATCAGGCAATGGTTTCTTCAGATCTTCACTATCTCCCTCCTTCTCTTTCTCAGATTTCAACTCAATTATTCTCTCCTGAAGTCTTCCACAGTCATGCTAAATGAAGTACTATATTTATGTTTTTTTTCAATATATGTACAAGTATTTGGAATTTTATATATGTATTCAAAATGTGTGTTTTTTTTTTTATTAACTATTTTCTCCCTCTATATCAGAGCCTGCCAACCAATATAACCTGTTGTGCTTGGGGGGATTAGAATATACTAAAATATTTATCCCTTAGCCTTTAAGACTCCTGGGTTGTCCCTGTGCTAGCTTGGCTACAAGTATACTTAAGTGTTTATCTCAGACAGTATACAAATAATATTAAGGAAAGTGTTTGCCATGATATGTAAAATATTGGGAAGAACTGTACTAGAATGCAAACTATTTGGGAACAAGAAAAAAAATGCTGAATTTACTGCTAATTATATATGTATCTTGGAACCCTTTTAAGAAAGTAAAAAATACTGGCATGGCCACCAGCCATATTTAGAAGAGCTCAAACTTGGACATTACCTCATACCAGGTGACAAGATCTGTTTGACATTTGATAACTCATCTACTAAAATACCAAGTGCTTAAACACATGAAGCTTCCCAATGGCTAATTATGACTTTATATAATATAGAGATTTGAAAATTTGAAAATGTTTTTCTTCCATAAAATCTTCAAGACAGTTTGTGTCTATCTTAGCTAAACATTGGGTACTTGATCTCAGTCTTTGTCACTTCTGTTTGCTTGTTTAATAACTTTTTACTGGGTAGCTATTACAGATCAAGTGCTATGCCAGGTGTTGTCTATTATTTTACATTATAAAATATTTTAACAGGATATTTTCTAAATGTTAAAATATGAGAGTGGATCTGTGTTTCTTTCATGAAAGTCTTATCATTTCAGCTAAAACTGAAAGAAAAACTAGTGAATCACTTGATTTGATTCATTGCCTAGAAGATTATGAAAATAAAAGGTAATTGATTTAATTTATAGTACAAAATGATGTGAAAAAAGTTTTTTTTATATATTTCTGATATTTCTCATGAGATCCTCAAACACCAAGTAAAGAAAAAATCATATTAATCCAGTCTATAGCTAGATAGAGCAACAATGTACAAATGTACAATAATATCCAGCAATAAGTCCTTCTAACACAGTGCTACTTTAAATAGTGCTACAACAACAAATATAAATTAGTAAATAAATAGTATTTCAAATACATTGTCACATTGTCGAAGGATAACACTAAAGAGTGCCAAGAAAGAGAGAAAATACTGTCTAAGCTCAATTGCAACATATCACTCAGCCTCAGCGTGCAATAACAATGGGTTAATTTAACAAACAGAGATTGAGGGAAAGGAGAGAGTTTCTAAGGCCATAAATGGCTGTCTGTAGTGTCTAATAGTTCTAAGCAAAGTCCACTCATGCCAGATGGTGTTGTCCCATCAACGAAAGCGTGGAGGAGTTGGTAGCCCACTGGTCAGCAGGATACCAGGATTCAACTCATGGTGGCAGCAAGAGGTACTATTAGGTGGGGTCATTGAAGTATTGCTGCAGCTGCCTACAACATTTTGAAGGCTGGACAGCACCAGATGCCAGACCAGACTATGACAGACTCAACAGTACCAGCAAGTAGTGATGGAGAACCAGATGCAGTAGACAACTCTCAAATGTGGCCAGAGTGCTGGGCACCAATCAGTAATGCCTATCAGCATTGTCACCATGGGGTAGTGTCAGAGACACCAGTACTAAAGTTATTAATATGAACCAATAGCCAAAACTCTTTAAGACACTGGGTCAAGGCTGATGGTGCTCCACACAAGAAATGCAGAGACAAGGTGCAGTGGTTGAGTCTCTGTGAAGGTCTGGAGGTCTGGAAATCTACAGAGGTCCACAAAGGTTTGCTGAATCCCATCGAGGTCCTGAATGCTACTTCCTTCAGAGGCTGACTCTGAGTATTTTTCTCTCCAGATACTAGTTGCTGACCACTTCTTTCTTTGGAAATTGGTTGCCGATGACTTTACCTCTCTTTAGAGACTGGTTGCTGACTGAATCAAACTGGCTACTTTTATTCTCTTCATGGGTCCCAACCCTGATTGGACTATTTTCAGTCCTAAGCATCTGATTGGTTTGGTTAGCACCAATCAGCTCACTTCCATTTTCATTCCATATAATTAGTTTAAGCCCCTAGTCAAGGGAGCTCGAACCTGATTGGTCCACTGATGATCCTGAAGCCAGATGCAAAATGGAAAAACCTCCTCTGTTTAGGCCATCCTGTGCTCAAGTCAGGACAGGCTGTGGACCACGGACTTCGGTTTCATTTCTATTAGTCTTTAAGATGATATATATCTGAGTACAGGAATGAGGGACTCACTGGATATTGTGACATTGATGAATATGTTTTGGTCATTGCCCTCACTACTCATTCCAAGATGTTTCCTGATTACTGAGATCTATGATTCATTAATTTGTGTTGTGAGTTTCTGAAATTGGATAGGATTCCATTTAACATTCATTAGTATGGAAGGACTCATATCCTTCATGTATCCACAGACTTCATGTGTCAACCATGCCAAATATTTGCTAGGGATTGCCTCACCCCAGCAATGGTAAGCCCCTAAATAAGCTTAAAATCTGTGTCCTTGTCACATGTGAACCAAGAGATATGAAATGAAAACTATATCCTCTCTGCCTAGCCACACCCTTCCATTCTGTTAATAAACCTGGGACCAACTTATATTGGTGGGAAGCTTTCAAAATCTTTTCAAAAAAAAGTAACAAATTTCTTTGACCTTTAGTATTCTCAGTGTGTATAATACATTTTCCCTCAAAAATCAAACACACACACATATTATTGTCTTGCTTTCACCCCTGCTGTTGCCATTCCACTTCCCCCCTCTATTTCCATCAACCGTCTTCCCCCACTCCCTGCACACACAAGCATCAGGCATGGAAAGATGAAGGTCAGGTTGAAAGTCTATAAAAGAGAGCTTGGGGGAGATGGTGACAGTGGCTTTGAGGGATGAGAGAGGCAGGTGAAAACTTACAAATTGAAATCAGCATTATAGACATTTACAGTGATCATGTGTTCATTTTCAGAAGAGAATGTCTTCCACAAATAAATGACTATAGTACAGAAGAAATGAAATCTATCAAAAGTGATCAGTTAAGTAATGATTCTTCAGTGAAAATGAAAACCTTGCTCCCCTTGTGCTTTGAGGATGAATTGAAAAAGCCAAATGCCAAGATAGTAGATACTAGTCCAGCAAAGACAGAAACAACTCATGTGGTAATAAACATAGCTACTATAATTCATTGAATATGAATACTATTACTGTTTGTGGGAATTTGATATGCTAGTAGCTGGAATATTGATTAAATCTTTTTTATCTTTTGGTCACATTCTGAAGTAATAACACTTAGTTTTTTGTAGCTTTTTTTCCTAGGACTGGCACTCCAGAACTAGAAATTCCTTTGCCTCAGTTGGAAATTTTAGTTTTTCTTTATGAAAGTTTCATCAAAATTTCTTGATTATAAAGGAAATATAAATGACATTTATTTAAAAATGATGATTCATTTTTCCAATTATCTACTTTAGTTACCGGAATCAGAAAACACATTTAATAAAGACTATTTGGTATCCCACAGAGTCTCTAGGACTCTGAGTTGAAGGGTCTGCAGTCAGGAGTCTCCTAATGGCAGCCATACACTGCTCTGCAGGAGCCCATGCTATTGCCAAGAATAAGACTTTACAACTGTGATTCTGAGCAGAGGACACTGTTCCTAAGAGCTTTGTCATTGCTATCATTCAAAACTAGGTCTATCTATCACCATCCTCTCTAGAATGGTTTTCACAATGTTGAATTTCTTAGAGTGTTCGCTTTTCTGTAGACTTAAGTTTACCTGATAGGCAGAGACTATGTCACTTGCCTATGTTTTAAGCTTAAGGGAAACTGATAAAGCTAATTTCTGCCCTTCTTAAAGGTACATAGACTTGTAAAGTGAAAAATCCCCTAGGGTGCTGGACAGGCCAAAAATATGACATACTCCCACCACTGTGATTAAGTTAGTTACTTTGGCCTCCTTCACGGATTGCAAAATCAGGTCTTTTGTCATTTTTTTCAGTAATGGTAGAGACATGAATATGCTTTTAACACTAAGTACAATAATACACAATTAGATGACTTTAGTTTCTTATTTTGTGAGTTATATTTCTAAAGGAATAGTAGCAATCTTTGACTTAAAGTATACAAAATAAATACTTGTAATCCTCCTATTTGACCAGTTTCCTTGGAATTATCTTTTTGCCCTATAATAGAAGTATAGGTACTAGGTTAGTGAGTAACTCATCATACAGATTTTGTTAATGCTTTGATAAAAATCTCTATTTTAGGCAAACTGCTTATTTTGACTACTTTATTTCATAGGTAAATACTAAACACTTATATACTAAATGTTGGGTAAAATAACAAATATAATTATTATATAGATAATTTTTTGTTTTCTGAATTATTTATAAAGATATCCAGACTTGGTAATTTTAACTTGTAATCAGTTATATCTCATTATTTTTTATTCAATCTTTTTTATTAGTTCTTATTTTTGGGTATGAAAACTTAAGAAATGCCAGAACAATGTTCATTCCCACCAGCTATCTTCTTTCCTAAGAAATAGTATTTATTTCTTTATATCCCAGTTTATTTCAAAAACTTTTGGGAGGTCAGTTAACCCCAATATTGAAATTGACCCCAAATATTTTACTGGAATGTGAGAAAACAGTGTATCATATACAAGTATGCCTTTTTTATGTGTTTGAATGCCATTTTCATTCAAGTTAAAAACTTCTATTTTTAATTACTTTTAGAATATTTACCATTTATTTTCATATTTAGGAATACAGATAGCTTTCTTGCTTTATAGTCTGATGCCTAAATTCTCTTTTATTTAACCCACAGGAACAACATGACACAAATCCCATAATTTTTCATGAGACTGAATATATAAAAATGTTACTTTTGACAAAAAATAGGCTTCCTCCCTATCTTATACAAAACGGAAATATTTACCCATATAAAAGAAAAAATCTTATTTTAGAAAGAAATCATGAATACCTCAAATCTCTAATTAATGCTCAATTTATTACTCCTTCTGAATCCAACAGAACTGCTTCCAAAGCATGGGAGAAAAATATTCCAGAAATAACTTCTGAACTGGATAAACTAAATGATAAACTAAGAAGGAAAACTATTAAGTGGACATTAGAAAACCTATCTTGGAATAAACTTATTAGTTTCTCCCAAACTTTTTCCAACTTAGGGAAAAAAGTTGTGGGCTTCTTTGATAAACCTGTTATTCAAGAAATGGATGCACAAACTGACAGATCTGAAAGAATTCTTTCTACAGTAAAACCAATAAGCACATACAAATTCAGTGCCTCACCTATGAGATATTACTCAAAACCAATAAAAAAGATGTTGGAAGTACAGGCATTAAATAATGTAACACCACTGGATAACTTACTAAAGTTTCCAACTGAAAATTAAACACCTCATAAAATATTAGTTATAAAGCAATATTTGGCTAACAAGAAGCAAATAATAAAGATGCAAGATCTAGAAGAAATTCTTATTCAAAAAGAATGACATTCTAATGGATGGTATAAAACAAGGCAAGAAATTGGAGTTACAAATCAGCAGTGGTCTGTTCAAGAAAAATCAACAGTTTGGTAAATAAGAGGATAAAGTTAAGACTAATCAACAAGAACTAGTTCATGAGTTTATGTGATCTCAATTAGGTCTCCTAATCATTGGTATTCCTACAGTAGTTCGGTTCAGGACTAGGAATAGTACAGACTGACTGGAAATTCTCGATTGGAATCTAACACCATTAACCTTGCACCATAATTGAATGTCAAATAGGAAATATACCATAAATTTATATGAGAAATCCATTGTATATCAGCATTTTGGATAATCACTGGAAAACTGTGTTATATTAGCAGCTTATACAATTAAAAAATTATACAATTTCAAGAAGTTTTTTATTGGTTGTTGGAACTTCATTCCTATATTATGGCCCTTCCAAATATAACCTCAACTTTTTTTGAATTGTTGAAATTTTGTAAAAGAATAACTTGTCTTTTATAAACTAAACAATTTTGATAGTAAAGCCAAAAAAAGTATTGAACATTTTATATATTGCTATTTTACTGTTTATCATTAACTCTATTAACCAAAACATTATACTGGCAGAATGCCAATTAGAGTTGCTCTTCAAATCCATTTGTTTAAGTACTTTAAAATCTTAATTGTTAGTACTTGAGTAGAAATAGGTTTGATTAGAAGCATTCATTTTTTTCTTTTTAAAGATTTATTTATTTATTTATACAGAACTAGGGTACAGGCCAGAGGTGCAGGGGCGGTGAGAGGATTCACCAAAGACAGAGTGGGGAGCAGAACAGGTAAATTGATGAAGTACACTGCTGAGGGGAGCAGCAGGCGGGTCAGGAGAGGTCTGCCAAGCCATGTGGATCACCTCTGGGGCAGGCGGGGTTGAACTCATGCAGAAGTGGCTTTAGCTTCTTAGTGCTGCGCTTTTACCCACTGCGCCACCAGGAAGGGCCAAAAGAATCAATCAAGTTTAAGAAAGGCTTTGAGGTGGATAAGAAGGATAAGAAGGCATATACTTGTTCAGGTTTCTCTGTTTCCATTTTAGACTGGAAGTTTTCTTTATCACATGTCATCACTGCTACTTTGGGCTTCTCTCCACAAGTAGAGGCAGTTTTTGGTTCTCAAAGAGAATGACAGAGAACATAGAGATGAGAGGAAAAGGGGTGCAATTGAAGACTAGGTGAGGAAAGAAAAAGAGAAAGATGTCAAGATAAGGTGGAAGGCCTTCTGAGGTATGTAGGAGGTGGCAGAGAAGCATATAGCTTCCTAGTTGTTGAGCTTTCCCTTCTGGTTACTGGCCTGCAGTTGGCCTAACACAGGTACTGGCTTATAATAATTATGGATGGAGTTGTAGGGCGAGAACCACCAAAGCATTTCAAGCTATTTTCAAGTTATCAATCTCCCTTTAATTTCTGGGTCACACTTTACTGAAACCCAAAGTCTAATACCTTAGGCCAGGTGATTGAAAATGCATCATAGATTATCCCCAAAGAAAGCCCATCTTGAAATATACATCATTAAGTCCAAGATGACTTCTCACCATTTTGACCTAGGATAAGCAGCGCATCACGAGATTTTTCTTCTTGTTACATATAATAAAAGGTCTTCACTTACCCAACCTAAATCTATACCTAAGTAACACAAGAAATGTATACTTTACCAGGAGTCAAGTCTGCAAGTTAAAAGATCAGACTGGCCCTCCCTGGTGGCACAACGGTTTAAAGCACAGCACTGAGAAGCTAAAGCCACTTCCGCATGAGTTTGAATCCTACCTGCCCTGGAAGTGACCACATGGCGCGGCAGACCTCTCCTGACTCGCCCACTGCTCCCCTCAGCAGTGTACTTCATCAGTTTACCTGTTCTGCTCCCCACTCTGTCTCTGGTGAAGCCTCTCCCTGCCTCTGACCTGTACCCCAGTTCTGTATGTACAAATAAATAAATCTTAAAGAAAAAAAAAATCAGACTTAAAAGTTCTGCCAACTTTGATACATTTGATCTAGCAAAATCTTTCCTTTAACTCCACTACTCTCTCCTACTACCCCAGATGTTCCCTTTAACTACCAACAAATCTCCTCAGCACATATTTTGTGGTAAAGCAATAGATTTCTTCCTTTTTACTTCCTCTTTTTCTGTTCCTCCATATTTTTGTGGAACTATGCAGCCATCATATTTAGAAAAATTATAGTCTTGTAACAGCGTGATCCTCATAGAAAGGGGAGGTTCCAGATCCCTTGACCCACCTAGGGAAGGACAGAGCTGAGCAGCGAGGGCAAGTGAAAAAGAATTTGGGAGAGAAAGAAGGAAGAAGACTTGGAGGAGGCCTGTGCTACACAAAGACATGAGAAGAAATTGTTTATATCTCAGCCTTGGACTGGTACCAGGGACTTGGGGAACATGGAAGGAGATGCTTGGGAAAAAACATGGGTAAGAGACTGGGGGGAGACTGACAATGGCAGCCTTTATATAGACTTGTACTTTGGTTTTATACTTTTCCTTCCAGACTTGCCTGGCCCCTTTCCCCCTTTCCTATGGTTTTCCATCAGAAGGCAACTTAGATTGTGGCAGGCTTTCAGGCCTCAGTTACCCTGCCTTGGGTCAACCCTGTTTGTCTGGGCATATACACACAAGGGGAGGGTAACTTTGGTTGATTTTTTTGGAAACTATATTCTTTCTCTTCTTTTACAGCACACTAATTCTATAAAAGTTATTTTCTATTGAATTTCTTATCAGTATGTTTGTCTTTCTGCAGCAGATGACAGAATTCGGTTAAAGCATGCATGTTTGAGGGTACTCCTCATTCTGCCTGTTAACAGTCACACACTTTTAAGTTCATTTATGGTTTTGGTGTTTGCTAACCTTCTGGCCTTGGCTTGAATATATTTGGCAGTGTGAAGTAACTACTCTCCAGATCCTGACATTTATTTGGTCTTGCTATTTGAGTATCATCCAGGGACCCAAAATGAATTGACCATGAATTTCATGGTCAAAATTACCTGCAGAGTGAATGATATGAGGAGAATTTACTAAGGAGCAATTTACCAAAGTACAGTTCAGTATAATTCAGAAATTACTGTATATTCAAAAATTACTAGGGGTAATGTAGTCCTTAGGCCTCAGGAATGGAGGGATGGAGGGATGGAGGGATTGGAGGAATGCAGAGGGAGCATGTGATGCCAGTTATGGTAACACCTCACAAATGAAGTTTCAGGGTATTGATAAATGCTGGAACCTCATTTTGTGTGGTGCTTTGTGCCTATGGTGCCTCCCATTGGCTACAATCAGCCAAAAGTTTGGAGTTAAGACAAGGCTGGGTCTAGAGGCACCCAAGGCAGAACAAAATTAAGGAGACTTCTTTGCTTCTGGCCATGCACTGCAGGGTAGATCCTTCTTAAATGCCAGGCTTTAAAATTTTGCCTCACTCATCCTGACCACAGGTTAAGAGTGCCTAAACATTTAAGCTGGAGAAATCTTCCTTCAGGGTCCAGTACTGGGTGATTTGTAGATTTGAGAGTCAAATGGAAAATATTCAGCACACACTACTGGGAAATTTTTCATTATAGTCAATTAAACATAAAACCCATGGATTTCCACTGAACCCACTGAGCTACTGCACTTGATCTAGGAGCATTACCTGACCACGTTAGATTCTTCAAGTATAATTTTCAAAAATTAACATGACACTCAAAAATATAAAATGAACTCATCAAAGATGTTATTCAACTCAATAATAAATGTATAAAGAGTAAGATGTTAAAACTAGCTCAAAAGAAAGATTTATATAACTAAAAGAATGTGACTGTGAATGTGCTAATAAATGAAAAGCTGGTAACTAATATCCTGTGGGACAATAAACTGAAACTTTAGAGTTATCTTTTCTACTGGAGGAAAATCAATTATATCTCCACAGATAAAATTTATTTGTGTTACTATGGACAAAAGTCATTTGCATGACAACTTTCGACAAGTTAATCTCTTCTAACCAGCCAAAGGCACAACCCTTAGAATTAATCTATCAAATTCCATTTGATTATTACCAGGTTTCTGCTGAAAGACATCCAGTAATCACCTTTCTTTTTTCTACTATTGGATAATTTCTTTAAAAATTTCTTCTCTACCTGGAAATCATTTCAATATTTAAAAACATCAGACACCTCTCATTTTTCTCCAAGAGTCAGGTGTTCAGGATTAGGCACAGGTGACATATGAGCAGGAGGTGTTTTATTTCAGTTCCCAAAGAGAAAATCAAAACCATTCATTAGTAAAAATAGTTGGATATTTTCCAAAGTAAATCCTATTTACTGCTATTTCACTCTAAATAAAACCTTCAGTATATATGTTCTTTACAGAGGTAGGGCTTTGCATTTATAGCTACACCAGTAGGGTGACAAGAAGAAAGAGACAAAGGACTAGTCAGACAAATCATCACAATAGTAGATTCCAAAGTTGCATTTAATTAGCCATCATGGCTAGGTAGTTTTAATGAATAGTTCATATGATCCAACACTACACTTTGGTGCGAACTAGAAACAAAATATGGGCTTTCTGTTTCAGATAAGAATTACAAGGTTAATGGCAACAATCAGTAATTGATGCCTTTAAAGATGATTCCATTTCATTCTTTTGCCTTAGTTTTTTCTTCCAGCATCCTTGCTGTTTTGCTCTTCTCCTTTTTTATTAACTTGTTTGTTTAGAACCTCAGAAGTAAAAAACAACTTGATAATCTCCTAGAACAGAGATACTCAATAGAATGTTCTGCAATGATGTAAATATTCTAGAGCTGTGTTTTCAGTGTGGTAACTGCTAGCCAGTTAAGCAATTAAAATGTTTCTGAGGTATCTCAAACTCAGCAGTATTATTTTGGGCCAGCTCACTCT